CGACAACTTTTGGAGCGACGAAAAGGCGTCTACTTGATTGACATATCCAAAGGCTTTGTAGGAATCTCCCAGGGTCGCGCAAATGTTGGGATACAACAAGGCTGCCAAATCCTTGTTGGCAAATTTCACCCAATCCTTGTCCTCAGAGGACGGTGATGTAAAATCCTCCCAATTTTCTTTGAGACTCGGACTCTTTGCGAGAATGTGCTCTCGTACGGCAGGATGCTGAAGCAGAACATCGACAATTGCATCCGATCCATTTACTTGTTGATTGTCCACAATGGCGATGGGGACCTTGCGATATTCCTTCTTCGAGGGCAGTTCTGCTTTTGTGAGTGGATTGACCTCAATGACCATTGGTCTAATACCTGCATAAGCCATTACAGCTTTGGTTTTGTTGCAATAAGGACAGATGGCATATTGGTACAGCGTTACTGATGGCAAGGGAGACAATGATGAGGACGATAACGGTGACGATGACGAAGACGCTTCTGTCGAAAAATAACGACTGCGACAGCCACGCACTTGTTGATAGGATGTTAGGTTCAAACGAAACATGGAAGAGCGCATCGTGGTATTGTGATCGGATTCCAAAGCCTTGATATGATCAACGACAAGATCCGCTGCGTTTCGCTGCCACAGCTGGTGTGTTGTGAGTTGTGAAACGTGAAACGTGAAGAGTGTGGTTAAAGTGAGTTCAGTACCAGTAGGAGTAGCACAGTACAAATATCCCGAAGCGTACAGTAGTATGCATACAAGGGCTACTGTACTCCGTATCATACAAGTTAACACGTTCTGCGAGTAGTATGACATTAGTATGATACCACTTCCGTCATCAATCAAATCTGCAAAAATGCAAAATCCAGCTACTGTATGTTAATGACGACATAGACTTGGTGGTCGTTCCACAACCCACAACCCACAACCCACAACCCACAACCCACAACCCACAACTCACAACTCACAACTCACAACCCACAACCCACAACCCACAACCCACAACCCACAACCCACAACCCACAACCCACAACCCACAACCCACAACCCAAAACCCACAACCCACAACCCACAACCCACAACCCAAAACCCAAAACCCACAACCCACAACCCACAACCCAATGCAAAATCCAGCTACTGTATGTGAATGACGACATAGACCTGTTGGTCGTTCCACAACCCACAACCCACAACCTACTACGACATTTGTTTCTGAACACTGCAAACGAATGATGTGCTTAAAGGAACAATTGAACGCAATGGAGTGCCCAAAACCAAAAGGAACGCAAACGTACTACACACTCGTACGAGACAATCAGAAATTCCGCCTTTTTCTTACATCGTATGTGACTATCTTGTGCGGTGCATGGCTCACCTACGTTGCAATTATATCCATGATCGAAGCTCGGCTTGCAGGAGACAAAGAGTCGTCTCGAACCGCAATTTCCTACCTGGTGGTAATTCGACGCATGCCAGCGTCATTCTCAGAGCTCCTGGTGGAGTTCTTGCCGATTCTCGGGACCGCCGACAGTCTATGATTGCTTTGAATCTTCTGGCTTCCGCAGTCACACTTCTTAATTTAATCATTTGGTATTCAAAATCGATTTCCATGGTGTATCTCGTTGCAATGCTATCGCAAGTCGTTCAGGCGCTTTACGAACCCTGCCGCGGTGCGCTCATGCCACTACTGCTTAGCGACGAGGAAGAAATCAAACTCGCGACGACTCTCACTGGTCTCGCGAAGTACCTCACGGCCGCTCCGGGCGCGTCATTAGGTGGACTGATTGCTAGTTGCTTTGGTGCAAGAGTGTGTTTCATCTTGGACAGCCTCACATACCTCACGAGCGCCTGCATTCTATATCAAGTCAAAGGAGATTGGCACGTTGTCGATATAGGAGCAACCAAATATTCTTCTATATGGCATCAAATGGTTGGAATGACCATAGAGGGGTACAAATACGTGAGACGGAAATTCTGGGGATCCTTGATCCTCATGAAGGCATCAGTTGCATTGATCTATGGAGCCGCGGACGCCTTGAACGTTTCCTTCGCAGAGCGTGGAGGAGGAGACTCAAGCGTCAGGCTCGGCATCCTTTTTGGCATGACCGGTATCGGGTGTTTGGTCGGACTCCTATTGTCAGATTGTTTTACGACCATGTCGGATATTAAGTCCTTGCAATTAGCATCGATAGTTTCCATCGGTTTTGGGACTCTTGGGTGTCTGGGGGTAGGACTCTTGCCGTCCTTTGAATTTAATTGCATATTCAGCATGCTTCGAAGTGGCGGTTTCAGTGCCACCTGGATCAATTCTTCCGTGCTGTTGCAGACCTTCAGCGCTCCTGAGAAACTGGGACGTGTCTTGGCGGTGGATAACGCGCTTGCACTCTTTGCACAATCCTTGTCTGCACTACTGTGCGGTTTCCTACAAGATCATGTTGGCCTTTCGCCGGAACAAGTTACACTCATGATGGCCGCAACGGGTGGGGTGATGGTGAGTGCCTGGGGTATGTACCATATTATGGGATGTGGTGCAGCTGGCGAGGAAGCGAAGGTACTAATGGTACGACAACGATATACTAAGTTGGAAGAGCAAGAACCCCAACTATCGGAAGAATTGCCACTGTTAAGACACTAGTTGTGTAGGTCCGTCCATCTCTGAACATTTACAATGGCGATTGGTTGATGATAGTCTTCGAATTCGTTGCCTTCTCCTTTTGCCACATAAATCGCTATTCCTAACCTTTAACTTTTACCAAAGGCATAACCTTTTCCCCATTTGCGATTACATGCAATAACCTTGCTGGTAATTACGTTTTAACAGGCGTACTCAAGCACTCAGCGAAGGTAAATACATGGTGAAAGATGAGAAACACCGGTACAACGAGACGAAAGTACCTCGTACTCTAGACTCTCAGAGCAAGAACGGCGCGTGCATTCTTCTGTAGCCAACTACTACTAGTAGTAGCAACTCTAGCAACCCATCCTCATGATGAAGTCCAGATTATTGTTTTGTACTCCAAGTACTACAGGTACGAGTACGTACTACGTATACTTGAACTGTACCTGTATGATGATACTGGAGTACGAGTACTCTAGTAGATATGGTAGTCGAGGCTCAAGGTGGCTGTTTGCATATATGTACTATGTACTGTACGCATAGTACTCGTACTCCGAGTACTACTAGTAGTAGAAACACGCAATCGCACCTGAAAATGAAATTCCAAGTTTTCGTCAAAAATCAGGAACAAAACGGGCGTGCAAGGCACGTGGGACGTGGGGCGTGGTTTTTGCGTCTACCAACTATAGTACCATCACCTACAAGAAATGCTGAGTTTTGAACTGGGGATGAAACAATAACCGGCTTGAGAGCGGTTGCCGCAGGTTTTCGTCCGCTATGAAAGCTCCATCAAGCTCCTTTCCTCGTCTATTGAGTAATAGCATCGACAACGACAACGATGGAGAAGCACAACTACAACAACAACAGGATTATGCGAGAGACAGCAGTCGCCGTTGCGACTGGAAATATGTGTGGGATGAAATTTGGTGATACTTCACAACGGACGGCACAGGAGCGCTCCCTCTCTTGTGCCTCCTCTTCATGATAGTTCCCTTGATTACCTTGTGGATTGTATTCCATCATTTAAGCATGAAATGACGTTTTTCACACTTGTTGAGTGAGAAACTGAACAGCAAATGAAAGGAATGCAAAACGACGTGTCGGTATCTCGACTTTTAGGGGATCATTCATAAATCGACATACGTCATACTTGTACTCTGCACAACCCATTTAAAACTTAAGTCAGAGCATTATATTCTAGGCTTCACTTCTCGAATCCTCTGTGTTATTCTGTGCCGCCCTGTCCAGTGTGTCCTTGTCTATGAACTCAACTCCAGGAGGTAACGGCGGGATCGGATTGATTCCTTGCTCTCGCAGGATTTGATCCGACGTTGGTTTTCCTAAACGCTGTTGTCTCTGATCAAATAGGATGCGGCGAATCGCTCCCTGTGTAGAGTCATCATACTTATCAATGCGACGACGAGAGTCCACTAGGGACGTGTCGATGAGAGGATCACCCACCATGACACTATCCCACCACGTCTTGCGAGCTTTCTGTAATGTCAATAACAAGACACCGCCTTCCATACTCCAAGTTGACTCGTCGGGTTTGATTTTATCCGTCAGATTCCCATCAAGGATCGTACGTGGTTCCTCGTTATCGTCGTCATCAGATGTCGTGTTGGTATTGGTTGGTGCGCTATCGCTTGTAGCTTTCATTTTGACAGAAATTGAGCCACTCTTGATTGTGACACTCATGTCTTTTCCCCGCGTCCCCTGTGGAGGAGCGACAATGACAGTCACTTCCTCCAGCGTCTGAGTCCATCGAAACTTTTTGGTGGACCCACCATTCCCCACAGGATATTGCTTTCCTTCATCAGTGAAGCGAGTGGATGCCATTGGGTCTTCCACCTCCTTTACTGCTACTCCCTTTCTCTTGTCAACACTTGTATTTGCCGTACTGACAGTCGTAGCTTTTGTAGTCGTTGGTTGTGCAACCCCTCCACTCGCCTGTCCTGGTGGATCTCTCGCAGGTGCGTTCTGTTTGGGCATTTTGCGCAATGGAAATTGACGAAAGGCAGCCAGCAAGAGCTTTTCAGCCTCTCCTTCTTTGAATCCCAAACGATGATCCTTCCCGGAATCATCATCGTGAGGAATGCAATAGAAATCAGTGCGGCGATTGAGGAATGAAAAGAAAGCATACAGGAGCTTGCGCAAATCTCCTCCGCTTCGTTGGGCAAGTTCGACGAGTGGACCGTCCATTTCTTTCAAGATGGCAGGATCCATAGTTATAGTTGGCATTGGAAGACTCATGACTTTTTCTTAACTTGACAGCGTATATTGCGAGCTGGATGGTAGCGAGGTTGATGCGGACAGTCAACTATGATAGAGGCAGATGGAAAAAAATGAAACAGCCTGACTTCTAAGTGAAGAAGTCCAAAACTAATGGTGTCTGTGGGATTTGAACCCACGCCAACTAAGAATACGACCTGAACGTACCGCCTTAGACCACTCGGCCAAGACACCAGATTTTATACCAGGTGGAAAGGGAAATATTGGTATGAATTACAAGATAAATTTCGGCATCAACAATTCAGAAGGCACAAAAACAGGCGCCAGATTGCCATTGTTGTTGTCCTCAGGTTCTCCCATATCATAGCAGCGATCCCATTCTCAGTTGTTGGTGACGCTTTGGTCCATTACATCATGATTAAAGGTCGCGTGCAAAGTATTCTGAATTCCTCAAGCATATGGAAAAACAACTTTCCTCCGGAGGGAGGTGGAAATATGCGTCGATGGTTGCGATTGCAACAGGATCTGTTTCAAAAATTCAGAGACGCGGAACACCCATTAAAGGGTCCAGTTACCTTATTTGACTTTGCTGATTTTCACGATGCTGCGGATGCCAAGTACCCGAGCCTCGATTTGGAACATCGTTGGAGGTATTCGGATGATTCAGTGATTGGAGGGTTCTCCAAAGCCTCCCTCAACTTGATTCAATCCAAGTCGGATCTGGAAAGCATGGAGAGAGGTGAAACTCCTTTGAACGACGAAATAAATGTGGATCCAGAATTTTTGCCTTTTGTTCGATGGAAAGGATTTATTGATACACGCGTCGGTGAGAAAGCTCCCAAGAGAGTAGCGAAATCTGGATTCTGCTCCATCAGGTCTCCAGTTTATCCGTTTTCAGGAGCTGTCTTGTCCGGGAAATACAACAGCCTCGAGCTGACCCTTCGAACAGATGGGCGACAATATTGGATCAATCTGTACCCCAACTCGGCCATTCCCGAAGATTTGTTTCAGATAGCCCTGACTCTGCCGCAAACGGAACCCGACGAACCGACCGAGGAGGTCCCGTTCCAACGAGTTCTGCTACCATTTACAAAATTTCTCAACACTTGCAATGGTCGGCTTCGAGAATTACCACGTCGATTGGACAACGGCGTCGACATCAAAAGTATTGGATTCACACTCATGGACGGCCTTGATGGAGACTTTGAATTCGATCTGGCCTCTATTCGGGCCGTCAACTTTCATGATGGTTGCATACTGGGAGAAGAAGATGAAGGTGCTCCATACTAAAATTCTGGAGCACTTTTCTCTAGGCTGCCGTGCTGATGATGTCATGCCAGAAACATAAATGGTCATCACATCGAGGAATATCGGCCAACATCATACTATTTCTTCAATAAATCTAGCTTAGAACTGAGCATGAACGATAGATCCGGTACTTGCTGCAAGAAGAGTTGAGCAGTAGTCGACACATTTTTAATCCCGGCTCCGTTGCCAGAATCGTCTTTTTCTGATCTTCAGAACAAAGGCACTGCGTGAGTAAAGTAAACGACAAAATCAGAGGGGAAAGCATTTGCTTGTCAAACACTTACGGCGCTTCAAAGCTGGTGAAGTCAAGTTTCACACCGGTCGGCAGCGATGAGACAGTTGCAGCAGCAGTTGGCCCACCAAGTCCTTCCGCGATCTCTGTTTCATCAGTGGATCCTGACACTGACCCATTTCCGATTGGATTTTGGAAACTGTATTTTTCGCTAAGATCAAAGCTCGACCATCGCTTTTCTTTCCTTTCCCCAGATCGATTCAGTATTGGAGCTTGTGCTGGTCGAGAAAAATGCGAATATGGGTGGGAGGCGCGTGGATCAAGTACCACCGAAGGGGCAGACGGTTCGATCACCTTCAAAATCCCAGAGTTGGAAGAAAGTTTCTCAATCGCCCAGTCAGGGGCGGCAGTTATAGATTCGCTCGATCCCTCACGCATCTGAGACTGCATGCGTGTGAGACTCGTGCAACCAGGCAAGATTGGTGAACGATAGATGGATGGGCTGCACTTACCAGAATGTCCACCAGTCTTACTGATTCCTGAATATCCCGGTCGCTCGCACCCACGTCGACCTCGTCAACTATGCTGCGAGGACCGAAGATTTGTTCAAAGACAACCCTTGCGCGATCCACAAATGGGTCTTTGATTTCAAGGACTGACTGTGATGCAGGTGGTGTCGATTCCGAACTTTCTCCAAAGTCTCCGAATCCATCGCTGTTTTGATCTGTTGGCAGCGGCGGTGTCACTTCGGCCGTTTCAACGGCTTCGTTGAAATCCCCGAAATCATCAAAATCGTCATCCGGAGAAGTGACTAATGAGGATGCAACATTTTCTTGAGTCCCAATATTTGCTGCATGATCAGGAACTGGTGACGGTTCCGGAACAGCCCCAGCAGGGCTTGGTACCTTGAATCCATCGCTGTTCTGATCAGAATTCAGCTGTGGTGTCACTTCCGCCGTCTCGACGGCTTCATTGAAATCACCGAAATCACCAAAATCGTCGTCATCCGGAAAAGTGTCTGATGGTGATGCACCCTCATCTGGAGTCACAACATTATCAGCATCATGAGCAGCTGGCGACGGTTCTGGAACTGCAACTGCCGCAAGCCTTGGTGCCTCGAATCCATCGATGTTTTGATCAGTTTCCAGCGGATGTGGCTCGTCGGCTGTCTCGACGGCATCGTTGAAATCGCCAAAATCGTCGTCATCCGGAAAATCGTCTGATGGTGATGCAACCTCATCTTGAGTCCCAACATTCTTAGCATCATGAGCAATTGGCGACGGTTCCGGAATTGTAACCTCAGCAGGGCTTGGCGGTTCGAATGCATGGCGGTTTTGATCAGTTTCCAGCGCAGGTGGCTCTTCGGCTGTCTCGAAGGCGTCGTTAAAATCACCAAAATCGTCGTCATCCGGAAAAGTGTCTGATGGTGGTGCAACTTCATCTTGAGTCCCAACATTTGCAGGATCATCAACAACTGGTGACGGTTCTGGAGGTGCAACCGCAGGGCTTGGTGCCTCATCAAAGTCTCCGAAGCTATCATCAGCTTCTGTCGGTGGATCTTCGTCCATAAAAGCCTCCAAAGTACTTGGAGCCTCGCCAAAGTCTCCAAAGTCAACGTCTGTATCAGAAATCGTCGGCGCTGATTCTGCCATCACTGGAGTGAATTCTCCAAAGCCGAGCAGTTCGTGATCCTCGGTACGAGGAGGTGGGGGGTCGACGGCGAGCTCATTGACGGTAATGTCGAGGGCATCATTCGTCGGTATCGCATCCTGCAGACCGCCACCAAACAGGTGTTGGTCCAACTCTTGCGCTGGGGTTGCTTGCAATGCAGCGAAAGGATCATCGGCAATGACCGGAGTCGCTTGTGCTCCACCACCGTTAGCGACTGCTTGCTTCACCCCAGTTTCCGAGTCCTGGTTGGTTGGAGGAGCCTCGCAATCCTCCGTGGCAGAGGCATGTTCGCCGTCGCTTTCCTGGCCGTTGCTCATTGCCGTGGGATAGAGGCGGCAGGGAATGGGCGAAGATCAACACATTCCATCTGTTAGTTTTTTCAGATATACCACACTGGTACGTGCAGTACGCATTGGGGCCAATGTCAGCGTCCAAGCAAGCCATCCTCTACTGGTAGTAGGTACTGTACGGCTGTGCTATTTGATTACTGTAGCGCTAGAATGACTTGTCGCCCTGTCCGTCACACCTAGGTTAGATTTGCACATCCACTCCCCAGTGTGTATTGAAGTGGACAACACTTGTCAGGTTTTCGAGTTCGGAGGTGATCGTGTCAGGGTCCAGAGGGGTGCGGCAAAAAATGAGAACCTCGTTGGGGTTCTGTTGCCGAATGAGGGAAAGTATTGAGCTGTCTGGGAATAGGTATTCCCAATTCGTCATACCTTCCAACGACAATAGAGACCATCCAACTGCAACAATTCCTTTACCTCACCAACACTTCCTTTCAGCGTCAAATGATGTATCGTCCTGTCCCGACTCCCATCAAACCCTGTCAAACGAGTTCACGTCGAGCTGCAGGAGAATTACCCATCGGTTGGAATTCCTCCAGTGAGTTAGTTGCATGACGGTCAATCGATTTCGCTGCTTTTTCCTTTTATGTTATGCTCTAATCGTACCTTCTGCCATGATTGTGCTTTCGTCGTTTCTTCATCATGCACTCATCACTCACTCTCACTCACCTCCATCCTTTGGTCCACATTTCGATGCCGCTCTGTCTCACCAGAAACACCGTCATCCAACACCAAATGGCGCACTTGGAAGAGTCCTCATCATGAAGAGGATCCGGTAAGCAGCAGCAAGAACAATAACAGTGATGACGACGACTGCAAGTCAACTCCAACTATTTCGACGACAGCAGACTCTCCCGTGTCTCATCATCCAAGGTCTCCATCGCCGAAAAACCCATCAATTACTGGTACTAGTCCCAAATGTGTGCTTCTTCGAGATACACCAAGTCCTCACGTGTCTAGTGCTTCGGTTGTTGCAAATCGACAAGAGGATTCACAATTTCATCAACCGCAGGAGCAACAAAAGCCAAACCAACAATCATCATCATCATCCCCCTCTCCTCAGTCAGCACTACCGGCAGTAAATGCATCCGACAAAGTGACGACGGAGCGACACACAATTGCTACCACATTCCGAAATGATCAGGATGAAGCACACCACCCTCCAGTGACAACGACGACGTCGACGCCTGCAGCCTCCAATCGTATCAAGTTCTGCGACGGAAACAGCAACCCGACAATGACGGTTAATTCGACCCACGACGAACAAGCTTTTGCGTCGCTGCAGCAGAACAACGACAACACCAATCCCGCAAGTTCCCCACTAGGAAACAATGATCATGACGATGATAATGATGATGATTTAGACGATATCGAAAAGGAACGCCGCCGCCAAGCACGTGCTCTCGAACAGCAGCAACGTATTCTGCGTCAAGTTCAAGCCCTCCGTGAACTCAAACGCAACAAGAACCAGAACAAGCATCATCAGAAAGCGCAGCCGGCACATGTCTTGACTCGCGACGAGATCGCATCCAATCCCCCATCCACTGAGAAATCAAATCCCACGGCCGAACCAACTACGACAGCCGCTGCTACGAATCGTGACAATAAATCCAAAGTCCGTTCCAGCCATGACTATGTCGACTCCCACCGTCACGACCATGATGCAACGCGCGCAG